ACATCAAAACTGGTACGAGTAAGGAAAAGGTGGTACTACCATACTCTAGGTCTGGATATACTTATTGTAAATGTTGACCACAGTTGAAATAATCAATTACCCTTCACAAAAGTAGGTACTGATCGACTGAAAACAGGTACTAAGTGTAAGACAATGTGGTACTATTATGTGTAAATCAGGTACTATTGTAAGAATTGTGATATTTCTAATCCTTCATGTCTACCGTGTGACGTGGATCGTTAACGCGTGATTTGGATGAAAAATAGTGGAAGTTAAAACATATAGGTAGAAATTGGAGTAGTCATGTATGATGATTCTATGAGATGAAGTGTTTCATTCCATGAAGTGAAGTGTAGTAATAGTGTTTTCTCATTAGTGTGTGGAGTTCATGACCATTTTATGATTAAACTCAACGAAAAACATTTTAAATCTCATATAAACTAATGTGAGAGTGATTATGGGTCGTATAAACATCATTTTCGACCGATATTCGGTGTTCCTATGTGTTCAGTACAAGTGGTACTAAAGACTCCATAAGTAGTACTAAACCCATATAAACAGGTACTATATTACACTATGACTGGTACTAGTTTTTAAAATGTTGACCACAATTGAAAAAATCAATTATCCATAACAAAAGTAGGTACTGATATACTAAAAACAGGTACTAAGTATAAGACATTGTGGTACTATTATGCGTAAATCAGGTACTATTGTAAGAATCGTGATATTTCTAATCCTTCATGTCTATCATGTGATGTGGATCGTTAACGCGTGATTTGGATGAAAAATGGTGGAATTTTAAACATATAGGTGGAAATTGGAGTAGTCATGTATGATGATTATGGGTCGTATAAACATCATTTTCGACCGATATCCGGTGTTCCTATGTGTTCACTACAAGTGGTACTAAAGACATCAAAACGGGTACGAATAGAAAGAAAATGTGGTACTACTGTACTCTAGGTCTGGTACTACTTATTGTAAATGTTGACTACAATTGAAATAATCTAATTTATGTTGACCAAAGGTAGGTACGAATTGACCAATATCTGGTACGGAAAAGAAGAAGTGGTATTATTCGATGTAAAACTAGTACTCCTTTAAAAAAATCATTTTTTTTTTTCGTGGGAGTTGGTACTAAATACCCGATACCTTTTACTAGAACAACACAATATCGACACTATCTTACTCTAGCTTTGGTACTAATTTTGAAAATGTTGACCAAAATTGAAGTAGTCCATTATTTTTTGTTCTTTCTACAATGAAGGTACTAATTCATCAATAACTGGTACTGTGTAGAAGAAGAAGTGGTATTATTCGAGGTAAAATCGGTACTCTTTTACAAAAATTATTATTTTTTATTGGTACAAAATACCCGATACCTTTTACTAGAACAACATAATATTGGCACTATCTTATTCTAACTCTGGTACTGATTTTGAAATAGTTGACCAAAATTGAAATAATCCATTATTTTTTCTTCTTTCTACAACGCAGGTACAAATTCATCAAAAACTGGTACTGCATAGAAGAAGTACTGGTATTATTTATAGCTAAACGGTACTGTTTTACAGAAATGAGGTTCTGCCAAACATCAGACAAGCCAACCCAATATCCAAAGCCAAACATCAGACAATCTATTGTTCACAGCCAAACAACTTACAAGCCAACCCAAAATTCACAGTCAATTTCTTCACAGCCAACATACAAACATATTGTTCAAAGTATAATCCAAACATCATCCAAAAAACAGTCAACATGGAGGATTTCTTAGGACGCGCGCGCCATGCGTGCTCGATAGCCGTTAATCAAACAACTACTTTGGTCCTTCGAGAATTCATCCGAATCGACGGCGTAGCACTCCATATCCATGCATATGTGCACTCCACAATCCTTCACGCCCGTCTGCTGCCTGAGGTATCCAAACTGAATACCCTTTTCAATGGCCAATCCAAACTTCAAATTCATATAACCTGCTATGAACTTGGCCTACACATAAAAAAAAAAGGAAAAAACAACAAAATACGTTTATTCGAAAGAAAATCATCAATACAAAACAAAGTTTTATATGTTATAATAACACTTACCAAGCTCTTCCCAATCCCTCGATAAATCGGAGTGTCCATCGAGTTGTGGTACACAATCTTCTTTTCTTGAACTTTAAGGATAAGTAAGAAGAAGTGAAACTTCTGCAGCACGGGAAGGAAAACATACTTGGCACCATTCAAGGACACCAGCACCTCATCAATAATGGCAACAACACTTTTGTTAAGGCTAGAAGTACACTTCTCATAATCCTCATATTTCCAAACAGTTCTTTTGTTAACTGTTTGGATTGCACTCACCAAATTAGTCTACAAATTCAATAACTTTTGTTAGCAAATTAACAATTAATAAATTTAATAGAGTATATTAAGATAAAGTACCTGAACATATGTCGGCAAAAATCGGACATGGGGATAGCAACCACGCAGGATTGACATAGAGCAATCAACGAGTTCAGAATTCAACTCGTTGCAGAACAAAAGATCAATCAATAATTTTCCTCGGACCACCACTCGGTCATTGCTCCACACGATTTTGTTACCAAAATTTGCAATTCTAATTAGGGCAATATAACAGAAATGAAACAATCAAGAAACTGAAATAAAAATTTCTGTTACCTCAGGCGAAGCTCGTCAAGAATGATAAGATGGTTGCACGATCCTCTTCCTGCAAGGCCTCATCCTCATGGCGGTAGAAGTCTTTCCTCCCTCTAAACTCAATCAGAGGTGACTCATCAGGATCATTCTCGTCAATCTCCTACATTACAAAAATAATTGGTTAGTTAAATGAAAACAACACGAACAATAACATGAATTACAATATCAATAACACAAATAAAATAGATAGTTTAATTACCACATCATCAGTCAACTGCAACTTTTTTCTTCTTTTGTCTTTTCGGACCGGATGACGGGGGAGTCATAAAATCAACTGGCTTTTCCTTTTTTTTCCTCCCTTTCCTCTCTTGCACCCTCTTCACCATGGAGAAGGCCTCTTGGTTCTCCTCTCCCGCCAAACTGGCCGACTCCACCACCATGTCAACCAATTTGTTCAAATCAACAAAATCATTATTTTCATCATCAGCATTCCCCTTTCGGTCATCCTCAGCCTCCCCCTTTGGTCATCCTCAACCTGATGCTCATACACCACCAAAATTAAGAGACACATTATCACCTACCACAAAGGCATTCACATCTGCCTTGTATGTGCTAATTAAGGCCTCCACTCTACTATGTAACACCGCTATATCAGGCATATTTAAAAAAATAAAAAAATGGACTCTTTTGAAGAGCCTGCTTGTGCCGGTCAGAAAGCACGGCAACTGTCCTGTCTATTATATCTCTAAAGAACGAAGGGGCACATCGACATCTTAATTCTGTGCCCTATCACAAACAAATAAACCAAACAAAAAATTCAAACAACAGAAACAAAATAACACCATTTCAACCAAACCAAACAACACAATTTCAACCAAACCAACAGCACCATTTCAACCAAACCAGCAGCACCATTAAAGAACAAATTAGCAACACAATTAAAGAACAAAATAGCAACACAGTCACTAAACAATTCATACAAAATAAAAATAATAATAAAATTCAGAACATGCTTAACTAATTGAGCCCTAATTAATACAAATTAGGATGATGCTTAACTAATTTAGCCCTAATTGAGCCATAATTCATATAAACCCTAAACATGCAAAGAGCCCTAATTTATCAATAAAATTCTTAATTGTTGAAATAAAAATCAAATTCAAAGTTCATTAGCATCAACCAAATCCCAAATTATGAAATTTTTCGAATTCAAAAAAATATGCAAATTTTTCAAAAAAATCCTCAAATTTCGAATTCAAGAAAAAATTTAAAATTGTGGAAAAAATCCCCAAAATCTTATCTTGCTTACTGTTATAGACCCTAATTTTGAATTCAAGCCCTAAATTGAAAAAAAACCCTAATTTTCAAATTCAACCCCTAAATTGAAAAAAATCCTAAAATTAGGAACAAAGCCCAAAAAAATCAGACATTACCTTTGAGCTTGGTGATGCCTTCGTGGGTGTAGAGGAGGACGGTTTGCATGGAGATTTCTTTTTGGAGCCGGCCATTTCTTCACAAAGATGCGAACGGCGAGTGACAGAGAGAGAGCGGGCGATGGTGATGAACCAACAGAGAGAGAGAGAGAGAGAGAGAGAGAGAGAGAGAGAAAGCAGAAAGCCACTGGCGACGACGACGAACGAACGGAGAGAGTGAGAGTAGAATTGGCGACGAAAATTCGAAGAGAGAGAGAAGAGAACGGTGAGAGAGAGAGAGAAAGACTTCAAAATGAATTCAGGAAAAAAATAAATGAATAATAAAAAGCATACCTTATATATGGGGAGTGAAATAGAAAGAGAAAATTAGGGGTGGGGAGTGCAGAGGAAAAAAATTAGAGGGGGGGGGGACTGAATTGGAAGTTGAAAGTGGAGGGGGGATTTATCTTGAAATTTCCGTATAAATAATAATGACATTATATGACAACAAAGTTTATAATAAAATAATAATTAAATATTATATGGTGAACAAGAATAAGTAAAATTGTTATTCTCTCTTGGAATAAATATATATACTAAAATTAAATTTATATTGGTATAAATGTGTTAGTGAGATAATATATTAATTATTTACAAGCTAGCCCCAACATGCTCATATTTAATGTTTTGACTAAAAAAACCACAGTGGTTAAAATAGGTGCAAAATAGATTATAACGTTATTGTTTATTAAAGAGGTGGAAAATAGATATAACCCTATTGCTCTATATACGAAGACTGTGAAAATAACTCATATAATATATCTGTCCCGTATATCGTGCACGGGATACGTACTAGTAAATATAAATATAGATATAGATTTTTGGAAAAATAAAACGGAAAAACAAAATCCAAATAAAATATCACTAAAATCAACAGGCTCAACGACAATCTAAACTGAACTCAAACAAGAAAAAAGAAAAAGAAAACGATGTCTCTTTCACTTTCTTCCCCTCCATTTTTGTCCCCCTCGAAAAATCGTAGGCACCTTCTCCTACCTCCTCGGTCTCAACCACTGCCGGCGAGTCTGAATCGGAGCCCACTTGGTAGCCACCAACGCATTCTCAAGCTCAGTGCTCCGTCTAAACTCCGCTGTTCATCAGCCATGGCCATTCAAGAGGGCCCTATTTCGTCCTCTTCGTCTCTTCAGGTCTCTCTCTCTCTCTCTCTCTCTCTCTCTCCCCTGGAGCGTATGNTTTTTTTTTTTCCGTTCAAATTTAATCCGAGTGAGTTGGAAAACTGCGCTGAAAGTAGTTAGCAGAAAGAAATTAAAAAATAAAACAACAGAAAATAGATTATGATGGTATATGGGAATTATGAAGTCACATCAATTTTCGTTAAGGGGTGTATTCAATTCTGACAGACTTTTTAAAAATTTTTAAATTGATGACTGGTGGTTTTGTAAAACTTTTGTTACCGTGAAAATTGCATTTTAAATAGCTGAATTAACTGGACCCATGAAGAAATTGGAATGTAGGAAATCCAGTATAGGTGTAAATCAAAATGTCTTGCGTGGCCAAAGTTTAACTGAACCTGACTTGGGTTTCCTTTGTTGCATGTAAGAGAAATAATACTTTATGGTTTATATCTCCTCATCAATTACGTATGTTTGGTTTCTTTCATCATGTTTTGGAGTTCATTTTCTTGTTTTTTCTCAAATTTATTTTCTAATAGTTTTCTTCGGAACAAGCCAAGAAAATACTAGGAAATGTTGATCAAATGAGTTGGAGTGTTTCATTCTTAGTTTTCTTGCCAGTTATTATTATTATTATTTTTTGGGAGGATTTGTTGGAATTGATGGGTTGGGTTTAGGGTGTTATGTTGGAGGTGAGTTGATGTAGCGTCGTAGAAGATTGAGAATAAACAATAAAGAAAAGAAAACTCTCTCGATAAACTGTATATTCTTATTCAAAATCAACCAAAGAATCAAAGAAGATGAGTCCTTTAATAAGGCTCTCAAAACCCTGAGACTAACTTGTCCATCAAGCCAAAGCTACTAGACTTTTCCCTAGGAAGAACACGATGGAGTGATATGCGTCACTGGTTCGTGAGAAGCACTTTGCAAGTCTTTCAACTTGAGTATAAGACAAATTTAAAGCCCTGAGGAGTTACTTCCTTCTTTAATTGGAGCACGGGCAGGGTAGAACTAATTAAATAAGAACATGGCATCTGTTATTTGAAAAGTACCTCCAGACATCGTATTATGCAAGATATAATTACACTCGTGTTTGGTGGTCTGTAGCACTTTCTACTGCTTATTTCTTCTAAGCAAGTGATCTTTCTTTTCTAAACCATTGTAGGACAGCATGTTGTATGCTCGGGCATTTTGGGTCAGTAAAGAGACTATTGCTTGGGATGTGGATGCTGGAGATGGTTCATATTTTTTGTACGGCAGCAAAAACGCAAACCTGTCTGTAGAAAATGGGGAAATTCAAGGTTTTCTAATCACTAATAATTCCTTCTGCTGATGCTGACAACTTGTTTTTTCTTGAGCAAGATATGTAATCTTTTGCTCTCGTGAAAACAGGCTATGACGTAAAACTTATGCTTGAGATTGGTGAAGGAATGCTTCCTCATCACGTGAGTTAGTTTTATTCTCGAAAGGTTTATCGTCCACTTGCTTTCATGTCTGTTTTGCCAACTTATTGTATTTGCTACATTTATAGCAAGATTATATAAAAAATATGCAATTTTTAGGTGATTGAAAAATTTCCTCATATTCAAGATTATAAGCCTCTGCATGTTACTCCAGCTCTGGATGTCAAAAGTGTATTGAAATATCAACTGGCTGTTGCTGCTGTAGACTGTAAGTCCCATGCTTGTGTTTGCTATTTTATCGTCTCCATAGAGGGACTTTGAAGTGGTCTATTCGGAGTGCTTACAACCAGAATTAGCTGAAAAATTATTTTGTGCTTTAAAGTTTCTTTTCTTCCATTCACTGCATGGTGCATGGTTCCTTTGCTCAAGTTTTTAATGTATCCTCTGTATAAATTTTGTGAACTTGTTTCCCTTATCATCAGTATTTTGATCTTGCTTGAAGTTTTGCAACATTCCAAGTTAGAAAAAGCGAAGGAAGTTAGAAGGGCATATTATCTGGTTTAGTTTACTAGAATTTGCTGGGTTCTATTAGGAAAATCGACGATGTGCACATTCTAATCTAAAAAAATAAAAATAAAAATCATCTTGCAGCGGAATATAACTAGGATTCGGAACTTACGGTTTAAATAATTTGCCGGCTCTGAGAAGAAAACACAGCCGGATGAACGGTTTTGAGACGCGTCTTCTTGCCCTTTCACGCTGTGCATGTCCTCGGTCAAGTATCCAGCTCGCCTGCCTCGGATCGCCGAACGCCGGTGCTGGTTGCCGAGTGCTGCAAGCATCGTCGCCTAGGTCGCTGACTGCTGCCGCGCGTCGCAGCGCTGCCCTAGTCGCGTGTGGCCGTTGGGGGCTACGGTGCTCGCGTGGCTGTGCGGGCTGGTCACGACGGGGTGCAGTAGTCTGTGGTGGTCCGCGGTGGTTGGGGTTGCTGAGTACGGTCGTCGTCGTATGAGCACATGGGG